GACCTGCTCAGTGGCCGCCACTGCCTTCCAAGTGGTCGGCCTCCAGAACTGTTTGCCCGTCGCCGCCGTTGCCATGTGCACGGTCGGCCCCCTGATCTGTCTTGGCTCTTGTGTTGTCGACCTCCGGGTCGACCCCCAGACTTTACTGTGGCCTCATGACTAGTCTTGTTTTGTGTTGTCCTGTTTTTGGTTTAATCTGGACTCTTGTGCTGCTTGTTTTTTTTTTTTTTTGTTCCTTTTTTAAAAGTCAGTTGAAGTCTCTTAATGTTCAGTAGTCACTCAGTGTGTTTGTAACCAGTCGGGTGACAATCTACCAGTTCATCCGGCTCTTTGGGCTGGGCTCGCCATCCAGTACTGGAAAAGGGATCCTTGATTCTTCTCAGGTCCTCAAAACCAATCCAATCGAAGTAAGCAAAGAAAAAAAACCTGACCATGTAAATCAACAAATGCTACACAGGGCTTCACAGTGCTCACGTTGGCTCACGGCCTTCGGAACACACTATCACCCTCATTATTTTCACCGAAGAAGGACTTTTACTATCCAGTTAGCTTCTTCACCGCACGGGTAATGGATCTTTCACCGTCTCTGTCTCTGGCGTATCTGACTGGTACACGAAGGCACACACAGGTGTCCAAGCAGCGCACACAGGTTGGGGGAAGGTCAGACCAGCCAATGATTGGTTGCTCAGTGGATCTAACAAACACACTCTAAAGGACAAAGTCCTGCCTCTACACCATTTATCCACATATTATCGTATTTTCACGACCATAAGACGCACTGTACTAAAAGGCGCAGTCTCAGTTATGTGTGCCATTACTGTATTTAACACACATAAGGCGCACTGGATTACAAGTACCGTATGCGTATTTAAAAATAAAGCGGGAGCAAAACTGAGTTTGGTACTCACATTTCTATTACCGGTAATCGTCATCATCAACAACGCACAAGCATACAAGTGTGCGTATTTAAAAATAAAGCAGGAGCAAAACAAAGTTTGGTACTCACATTTTTATCATCAATC